AACTCAAAATTGAACTTTCAGCCTTTCTGCGCTTTGATCTTACTGAACATGCGGAGTGATATTATAATTACAAAATAAGCTATGAAATTAGGCGTTTTTCATGAAACCGTGAGGAGACTGCAACAATGATGAATTCCAAAAAACACTAAAATTGAAAAATAAAAATAACAGGAAAAAGCCTACACACGTAATGGCTCAAGTATTTTTACGTGTAATTTAGATTACCCTGCTACTTTTATAAAACTTACAGTAACTGTGTGCGGTGAATCGTCTGCAATGAAATGTTGGCGGCCAAATAAGCATACCACAAAATAAGTATGCACTGATAAAAATACCGCCTGAAATATTATAAAAGCTCTGCAACAGCTGCCTGAATATTTTTGATAACTATCTTAGCTACATAAACACCGAGATTCAGGAGATCATCGGGAGCCAGTAGTAGCAGCCAAATCTCGATGCTCAACACAGACATATACAGACACACACACACCTACACCAACAATAATACCTTGAAACAGCTAAAGCCTTGGCAGATGTTTCTATCGGGAAAACTATGAACCAGCAGACCTTTTTCGAGATGAAAGAAACATGAGGATAGCCAGAAGGCTGATTACGAAGCGTTTCAGCACTGGTCAACCATAAAATAAAGAATGTAGCCAGTGCACCGATAGAAAACGTAACCGAATATGAATATACATACTCACCAATGGTGGACCAGTAGCCGTATTAACTACCGAATAAGTAATCAAAAGTCAGTCTGTGTGGATTTGCAGCTCACCTGTGGATAAGCGAGAGGTACCTCAACCCAATCATAGTTGCACAGCGTTTGAAGATTATTCCGGAAATTTCGAATTTCCTAAATTAATTTTTCGCACTGCATAAAGTTTAATGAGAAAAATCACGAATAATATCATTATATTTAAGAACTCTCACGATAAATTTGTCAATGCTATCAAGTATAACAGCCTTTAGATTGCTTTTTGCAGCTGCCCTTGAAAGCAAAAAATTTAGTTATTTATGTATTTGTTAACTTAAAGAAACACGAAGAGTTGAAAACAAATGAAAAATTTTAGGAAATTCAATTCTAAACGCTTTGAAAATTTAAAAAAATAAAGTAATTCAAATATTCAGGGATCTGTTAGTTTAAAAATCAAAGAATAACAGGATTGGAAAATCCAAAAACTGAAAAGTTGAAAATACAAATGAATATAATGAAAGAATTAAAGTATCCTGTTAAAAGGAAATTTAGAAAAAAAAAAGTCAGCTAACATCTGTAATTTTGATCGCATAGTTTTCAGCAAATATAAGTCCCTCCTGTCGAGCTTTGATGACTAGTGCAAATGACCAATTTATGGGTACCCAGTATTTATCAAAATTTAAATCGTATCCTTCCAGCTTTTCTTTTTCCGCTTCCAACAAGAATCCTGGAAAAGTACATGTGATTGTTTGTTACTGTAGCAGACTAGAATCTAAATGGCATTGTTAGAAATGTGTATTTTTATGATTTTTTGTGATGTAGCGCTAAAGCGCTGAAACAGGCAATAAATACGCATATTATGAGGATCTTGTATGTGCATGTGTGTATGCGTGTGTGTGTGTGTGTGTGTGTGTGTGTGTGCGTGTGTGTGTGTGTTCGTCTGTTCGGCAACCGGATGGGCTTTGATGCTGAAATTTTGCCGTTGTGTTCCCTAAACATGAAGTAGTCAGATCGTCGCCAAGAGCATGGCAGCCGCTAACGTTCTTGACATCTGAAGGAGCTAGGTTATCCATCAGCTTGCTTCTAAGCAACTCTCGAAAAAGGAAGCCATAAGCAGCTTTAGTATTCGCTGCCATTTGGGTTATTTCTGAATGATTCTGCCTCTCTTTGGGAATGAATGCGAAGGAGGTTTGGCATTCTATTAAATTTGTTTTGATATTCTGCGGTGAAAAAGTTAACACTGAGACCAAGTGAATTCTGCTGCTAGTTATACAGCCACGGACATTTTACAGTTTTAAAAATCTAGTCCCAAAAACTAGCATAACTAAGAAGCCTAGTTTAAAAGGCTCCGTTCATCGTAGCACTGGCCTAAAAATGCAAGAAGTATGAGAAATTTAAACCTGCTTTAACAATACTTTCATATGTTGGAAAGCGTTTCCGCACCTGTACGCTAATATCACGAAACACCAGCACCTGTGCCAAGCATAGGTAACGCGCTATCGTTCTTCGGAACAGGCGTGATCGCTCATCGTCACCCAATATCATACTGCTGATATGGATTGCTTGGCTAAAACATGCACTGGCCGCACATAAGTTTTCAGAACTTTTAAAAAACAGGACAAATTTCTCATCTCAGAAATCTTTGATTCGTATTTGTTCGTTTTTAAGGTTCTAGTTTTCTTGGAAAGACTGTGAAAAATCTATCCGAAGTGGGGAAAATTTTTAACTAAATTTTTAAAAAAACCAAGAAATCTCGATCAGGCACTAAAAGCTCTGACAGATTTTGAACGTAAAAAAAATTGATATCTTACTTTTCCAAATATCCCATGTTCTTGAAAGCATCTGTCCAACGCTGTATGATAACATTGACAAAAAATCCCAAAATAAATGCAAGCGGAATTTCATCTGCGCCTTTTTGAAAATAATTCGCAAATAATTCAAATGCTCTAAAAACGACATTTATTCGTATGATTTTATTCGCAGGAACGACCCTAATGCGTACAAATCTATAAAGATCATTTTAATCTTTCGTATTCGGTAAAATACCTCATCGAGGTCTAGAAATGGCAGCGCCCGAGACAAGGTAATGATGCTCATTGGCATCTCGAAGCGGCTAAAGCCTTTGCCAACTGCTTCTCTCTGGAGAACCGCTCAGCTGGCCGGCAAAGATACTCGCGAGAAGGGTGAACAACTGTTTCCACCGCATATGAAGAGATAGTGCATATACATCGGAGCAGGTGATGGGTACCGACTCCAGGATCGAAAGGCCTGGTATAGCTGCGCTCAGCGTGCGGAAGTATCCTAGTAACATCCTTAACACAGGGTACCAATACT